AAGAAGAAAACATAATCAGATAACATGAGCAATTTCATTCTCACCACATCCAGTTCAGGGACCGCCTCCATCACCTCCACAAGCTTCTCTATCTTTGTCTTCTCTGTAAACAAAAAGTCATCATCCACCCACAGGAAGTACTTGGTGGTTACCTGGGAAACAGCCAGATTTCTGCCTGCAAACCAGCCCTGAGGATGAAAACATCTTTTACAGTCTGTTTTAATAGTCCTTTACCCTCTGAGCTGTAAGTAGTCACTTGTGACATGCATTACTTCTAGACTGGACTATTGTAATTCAATATTATCAGATTGTTCTGAAAGTTCCTAAAATCACTAATCCAAAACACTGGAGTCTAATCTTAAAAGCTGCAAAGCTTTTCTTCTAAAAGCTTACTCGTAGGGCTGGATGAAGGCACACTTGACTACCCTCAGACTACTGGAGGATTTCATGTGATGCACTGAGCATTTCTTCTCCACTCTTCTTATATTTAGGGGATGAGTGATTTAAAGTCTAATTCTAGAAAAGAAAAAAGCATAAAATCCTATATTTTTTAATAAATTCTTCAATAATTATACTGCTCTGTCCAAGATGTCTGATAAAACTGTGTGTGAAAAAAAAACCCCCCACAAAACACACAATCTTAAGTTCTAAATGTCTATGCATACCTGTGCTGGAGGCATGATGTAATGTTGGATGTTTTCTCCGGTAATGTGCTCTGGTTCAAAGTTGTCATCTGCAACAATAACTTTTATGGTGCTATAGAATTTTCGGATACTGTCCAACAAGACCTTCAGCTGTTCGTACCGCAGGAAGGTCTTTGTGGCGATGGTAACTTGAGAGCTGATATCTGACAGACAGAAGGAAAGAAATGTTTCAAGAAAATAAGACAGATCATCTGCTACAGAGTAGAATGAGTTTTGTGCAAACTGTGCAAATTGAACAGCAAACTTTTCATTGCTGAAGCCACTACAGTGAAGTGCTGCAGCAAGGTCGTTGTTGCATGTTGTTGTGGTAACCCCCGAACCAAATGGTGGACACCAGAGGTGAAGGGAGCCACCAGGTTGAAGAATGAGTTGTGTCGGGCTTGGTTAGCCTGTGGGACTCCGGAGGCCCCTGAAAGGCCAAGCGGAACGCGGCTTGAGCAGTGGGTGAAGCAAAAAACCTGAGTGTGAGAGCAGTTCAGAGCGGCCATGGAAAAAGACTTTCGGACTGCCTTGAAGAGATTCTGGCAAACCTTCTGGCGACTCAGGAGGGGAAGGCAGTGCTCTACCTGCACTGTGTATAGTGCGGATGGAGCGCTGCTGACTTCGTTTGAGAACATTGTTGAGCAGATCCAAGCGACAGAAATGAGCTTGCTAAGGGTGACTAGCCGCTCCCTTAGCAAGCTAGAGGATGTGACCAGGGAGAGGGTTCACTGCTTAGGCTGCTGCCCCCATGACCCGGCGCCGCTATGGGATGGGATGGATGGATGGAGACCCGAAAGAGACCCAGGTTAGACCTGGTGAGATTGTACAACACACGGGGGCTCAGCCCTGGCGCAGGGGGCCTCTTGTGCATCGGCCTAACGGGGGGGCTCTTCAACTGGCGGGGAGGTTGTTCCATCCTTGCAGGAGTCCACTCTGCAGGTGGGGGAGAGACATAGGAGAGGTGGAGAATAAACTTAACCTGGGTGTCTGTTGTCTTGTGTAGTCTGGGAGATGATTGAATGTTGGGGTGGGTACAGTTTCCTCTGCGGTGGGGTAGGATGGGCTGCCCCGGGTCCTGTGGGGCTTGGCAGTGCTGCTACCGTAGGCCCCGGTCTGGATGGACCTGGGCTCCCTTGCCTTGGTGGGTACCAGAGGACGGGGGTGCCTACTGGGGTCAGCGGGGGAGCTGGCCCTAGGGAGGGG